ACTCAAGCTTCCCAGGTTCGATGCTGGTCAAGGGCATGTACCTTGGTTGTGGGCACATCCCTAGTGGGGAGTGTGTAGGAGGCGCCTGATCAATGTTTCTCTCTCATCAATGTTTCTAGCTCTATCTCTCTCCCTTCCTCTCTCTGTAAGAAAATCAATAAAATATATTAAAAAAAAGATGGTGGCACCCACAGCCAATAAGGAGGGAATATGCTAATTGACTGCCCCACCCTCAAAGATGGCAGCACTCACAGCCAATAAGGAGGGAATATGCTAATGGACTGTCCTGCCCTCAAAGATGTTAGCACCCACAGCCAAAAGATGGCAGCATCCAGTCCCCCAGGCCCCTCAGCCCCCCAGCCACCTAGGGCCAGCCTGAGGCACAGGCAAGCCTCGGATGGCGGCTGCCCAGCTGCCCAGGGCTGCCTGAGGCTCAGGTAACCAGGGCCGGCCAAGGCTTGCACTGCCGATATTGGCAGCAGCAGAGGTGTGATGGGGGCGTCGCCTTCCCCTGATCGCCGGGTCACCTCCCACTCCTGAGGGCTCCCAGACTATGACATGGTGCGGGCCGGGCTGAGGGAACCCCTCCAGTACGTGAATTTTCATGCGCTGGGTCTCTAGTCTATACTAATAAAAGAATAATATGCTAATTAGACTGGATATCTTCCAGACAAAGCCACGGTGGCAGGGGCCGAGGCAGAGGCAGTTAGGGCCAATCAGGTAGGCAGGCAGGTGAGCGGTTAGGAGCTAGTGGTCCCGGATTGTGAGAGCGATGTCTGACTGCCGGTTTAGGCCTGATTGCTGGTTTTGGCTCGATCCCTGCAGGATCAGGCCTAAACTGACAGACATCCCCCAAGGGGTCTCAGATTGGAAAGGGTGCAGGTCAGGCTGAGGGACCCTCCCATGCACGAATTTTGTGCACTGGGCCTCTAGTCTATAATAATAAAAGGGTAATATACTAATTAGACTGGAAGTCATTCCGGATGTCCTTCGTGATGAAGCCAGGGTTGGAGGGAAGCCAGCCTGTGTGCTGGGTGCCTGCGGACAGCCTGGGGGAAGCCGGCTGGGGTCCCAGGTGCCTGCAGGTGGCTGGAGGGAAGCCAGCCCAGGTCCTGGGTGCAAGAGGGAAGCCGGTGCCAGCAGCCAGGGGAAGAAAGGCCTACCTTGCATGAATTTTCATGCATCGGGCCTCTAGTTTATTTTATAAGTGGAAGTGTGTACTTCTTAATCTCCTTCTCTTTTTTTCTCACAGACTCCCACCCTACTGTTAATTTTTATTGGGGTTTGGAAGCTTGAGATTATAAGCCAACCTATTCATAAACATGTAGTTATAGGAAGTTCTATAAGAAAAATGCAATGAGAAAGTAGATGTAGCCAGCAAATCAAGTGAAAGGGGAGGGGACTATTCCCATGCTTTGATTTCAATATGATGTTCTATAAAATTTAATGAAACTAACACAAAATAATATTGAATGTAAACTGTACTTGAAAAATAAAAAAGAAATTTTATAGTAAAAATCCCTGCAAAAATATAAAAAATTTTATGAGCCCACAACATTTGATGTCTCATTCCATCTTATTCTCCACATTCTCTTTTGTCAATACATAAGCATCATTTCAGTTCACTAATTCAGACACAAATAATGTTCAAGAGGGGACAACTCAGAGAACACCTGGGTGTCCTTTGCCTTTGCTTAGTAAACTAGATTTTCCCTTGAGGATGGAAACGTTGATGGTAGCCTGGCCCACGTGATCCTGATTTCTGAATTTGTGGTGCCTGAATTAATGAAATTTTACTGTGGCAAAGGAAATAAAATTAGTAGACTTCATTATTCCACAGGCACAAATTGTTACATCTCCTGAGCAAAGCTATTTTAGTGCGCGTGTCAGGCTAATGACCAAATACTAGCCAACATCTGCAGCCATCAGATATGTAATTGTTTACTCATCCATTGAAAGGGGTTAATCATTTGTTTGGAGTAAGAAGGTATGCCTGATTGAAACAATAAATATTTATGATAAAAGAAAATGAGTTGTTATATGCCTTTTTTGACAGGGACCCGGGCTCAAGCATAAAATGACAATTAGACTCAAGTGGTAAATTAAATTAATGAATAGTTGACTTTTATCATAGACATGGAAATAAAACTCCAATTTAGAAATTGCCTAATTGTTCTTTTCTGCTCAGCATTCCATAATTTATAACTCAGTTTTAATCCTTGAGCTATATCATTGGGTTGTACCTCTGTGAGCTTTATACAGTTGGAAATTTTATGATTATAAGTTCGAGTTAACCAGTAATCTTAATAGCTTGCAAGTTTATCTTTCTTGATTTTTGTTATTATTTTTCTTTAGGGAGAAGAGAAGATCCTGATGTCTTCCTGAAAGCACCATGAAGAAAAATAAAAGACCTTCTACTTTATTTTCAATAATTTAAATATATGTTAAATATTGTAGATAATACCATTCAGTGAGCTACAAATGCATTTCTAAAACCATTATAGTCCTGTAATGGAAGCATCTAACATGATGTTAAAGCTGAAATGGACTTGACGGATAATGAGGAGCTTTAAAATCAGGATTGGGAAAAAGTAATTCCACTGGTTATTTTCAGTTATTATATTTACGAATGGGAAACGATTTAAAACATGATACTTTATAAAAGATTAATGTTAATTTTTGCCATATATAAATAAAAACAACCCTTGGTTTTTCTCCAAAGCACCATTTCTAGTGAAATATTATTTGATAGTTACTGATTTTTAAATGTCTTCCTTAATTATCCAGCAGACAGCTGGTTCGTGGCCCTCATCTTTGTCCTGTGTGGTTCTGCTTTAGGCATTCTGCTCTCCACTAGCTATGGTGTTGTAGGCTCTTTTTGGAGTCATGAAGCTGTCCACTGTGGACTAAAACAAGTGCTTGATAAAGAGTGAAGAATTTCTGTTAAAATCTGAAAGCCACCTTCTTGCCTAGTGTTCAGATATTGGAGAGTAAAACCCACAGACTAAGCTGAAGTTTAAAAATCCCATAATTTAAAATATGCTCTAAATGTTTATTACAGTTGATGCTACAGGAGTGGAGATTATATTGCGAATCTGATGAAGTGGACTTGACTGTTTTTCATTTACCTCTGTCTGCCCCAATTGTTGCCACTCCAAGTAAAACCTCATTTTGAAGGGGAAGCTTCAGCAGCTGTGGATCCTCAGTGGTGGCTCAAGTGGAGCTCATTTCCGAGTGGCCTCTCTATTAGGTGGCCCTACTGACCATTGGAGAGCTTATGGTTGCGTTAACTTTGAACCTTTCCAAGTGATTGCAACCTAAGTGAGAGCCAAGATTTTACGCAATGATAGGGATTTGTATTTTCTTCTCACATTTTATGTTTCCATGACTCTTGTGATTTGATTACACGTCAAGTTGCTCCAGGGCTCAGAGAATTCATTCACTCAATGAACATAATTGGCACTGGGGTAGAGAAGGAAACTTTCACCTGGTCTCTGCACTCAGGCAGCTCACTGTTAGTTGGACAAGAAACAGTAACAATAAAAGACCAAAGTCACAATAAAATGACAAAAAAATAACAAGAAAAGGTGATATGTACATGGTAAGTGAGATCACCGATGTGTAGGTACATCTGTCTTTAGAGGCAGAATGAGTCAACACAGATGCTCTGGTCCATGGTTCAGGGGAAAAGTCTCAGTTCTATTGTAAAGTAATAAACTGGAATTCTGGATTGTACGTGGGTGGTTGTGAGCTTGGTTAATAATCAGTGAACTGCCAAGAGACAGAGCTACTCTCCATGTGCTGGCAAGATCTGATTTCTGAACATTTTCCATGGATGCTATGGAAGTGCAATAATGTATTCTGGGCTGTTAACCATCTCTAGAAGTAAAAGCATCACTTTTAACTTGTACAGGAATTTAAAAAGCTGACTTTCAAAATAAAATGCATGTGCTTAGATACTTTTTAATTATTTGTAGCTTGGGTTTAATTTTTAATAGGTGTAACTGTTTTACTATAATCTGTTCATTTTGGAATAATCCTAACTATATGAATTATGTTTGCCTGTTTCTTTATCAGAGCCCTTTTTGGTAAAGCTTTTTTTAATCATTAATAGTCTTCCATATTTTAATAAAATATTTGAAAGCGTTATTTACCTAATTTGTCTTAAATATTCTGAGATAGGTGCTATTCATTTATTAAATAAAGCATTGATGAGGTAATCTTATCTTATTGGACAGATTCCCTGAAAAAGGTAAGTGCTTTCCTGATGTTGCTACTGTCAAACTTTCCAGTTCATGTGGTTACCCACTGCCTTCTTTTGCTGGCCTTTTATTTATCAAGTTCTTTTCACTTTTTCTTTCCCAGCATGAGCATCCATGCTATTTCCCGGCACGTAATAACTTGCACCTTTATAGAAAGGTCATATCTTTGCCAATTCTAAATGATTGCATGCTAACATATACCTTTAAGATGCTGAGTCAAGATAGAAAATGCCATATATTTCCAAGTGTACACCTCTCTTCAGAAAAAGAAAAAGTGTGTCAGCAAGCCTACAAGGAACATGACAGTTGATCAACTGCTCATTCATTTCCCCTGAAATTTCTTCTTAAGAGATAAGGTCAGTTGGGAGACCAGCTTAGGTAATTGTCAGTTTGGCAGTTATAGGCAGGGAACCTTGGTGGTAGTGGCCCATAGGTAGAGTGGGTCTACCGAGAATGCCTCTAATTAAGTGTTCTGGTATAAATAGTGGGCTGAATTTAAGATATTTGTGGTAGAATGCATAGAGAATTTAAAGTATGAGAGAAAGCTTTAAAATGTGTAGACATCAACTTGTGTTTTATTAGATTCACTTTATTGAGTTCAGACTCCAGAGTCTATTAATAATAAAACCCACATTTGCCCTTGGGCATTTCAAGGTTACAAGATGCCTAATCTTTCTGTTAGTGGACTATAAATGCAATTTTGTTGCCTATGTTTGCCCTTGCAGTAAATGGGATACCATTATTTCGCAGTTTGCAGGTTTGCAGCTAGGGGTGAAGTTAAACGACCCAGTTTAGACACTTTCATAATTTGGGATCATTGTCCAAACTTGTAGTAAAAGGCTGAATTTTCATCATTAGGCCATTTGACTTTTAAAATGAATATATATATTTAAAGATCTCTCAAAGTGAGAGTGAATGGAGAATATGGATAAATCTCTTAAATCTCTAATAATTCTCAGTGTAGAAGTGCTTGTCTCTTTCTTTTTGTACTCTGAGGGTGTGCTGCATATTTTGAAAAAAAAAAATCTCCAGATGATACTAATATCTACCCCCACCAGCACCCCATGCTGCATTTTGCTGATGGGCTGTGCTGAGATAATTGGGATTGTCTTTTGCTTCACGAATCTTTTCACTGTATCTGTGAATATATCTGTGAACAAAAGGCAGTGGGGCTTTTTAGAAAGTGCTGTAAATTCCAGGATTCCAAGCCAGTTTCAGGAATAGACTGTTTGGACTACAGCACCCCATTATTATCAAACTGCATTTGGGAAGATCTGTTGGCCAGCTTTCCCTGTGTCACTAGTAAATGTCTACCTGTGAAAAAGTCAGGGCCAAATGGCCATTGTAATTGCCTAGGGCCTAGGGACTCAGAAGAGCTATTGTTTTTGAGTCTTTCCTGATTGCCCTCCTTGCCATTTATTTCTTTACCAATGCATTTGAGTATTCTGCTCTCCTAACTCTCCCCCAGCCCCATCTTACAATTCTTGATATCCTTTCTATTGCCCAGAAACGCATCAACAGGTGAGAAACATTTTTATAAGTCATAGCCTAGAGGCATTTAAAATTTCAATAGCTACTATTCTTTTTTTACATTTTTTTTCTTAAATGGTCATTTGTGCCAGATATTCTATTTGTATGAAAAATAAAATGAAGAGATGTCTGCTTAGGATTAGTGCCTTTTTTTTTTTTTTTGCGCCTATATTTTCAATAAAGCACAGGTTTATTGTTTCCTGATAAGGGAGCCCCTTTTCACCTCAGGTGACTGGACTGACTAGAGAAGGTCATTTGGCGCATAAATAAAATGGGACGCAGCGTTCATTTGCTATTTTATTTTTTAAAAACGAAATATTCAAAGTACTTTTTTCTTTCAAATATCGACACATAATGTTGAACTTTAAATATTTACAGCATGTTGTTGTGATGCTCTTGTAGAAAAATGCATGCTTCTGGCCTGAAAACCAGAGCAAAATGCAAAAGACCATTTAACTGCAGCCAGAGAACATGAACCTGTACAGTATCCAGTCACTTTTCAGCACAGGAGTGAGAGCAGGAATACAAAATTGGAACCTATTGTTTCCTAGCAACATGGCTCAGGCCATTATAACACAATTTTCAGTATGATTAGAACCTCTAACTGTTGTTATATAGAAACTGAAAATCTTGGCATACACTGTAAACATCTTTACTTCTCATGAGAAAGTAAGCAGCTAAAAAGAATATTTTTCTGACATAAAGGCTATACTTCTCTTTTTCACCTTTTCTCTTACTGATGCTTTTGCCAGAAGAATAGTAAAGATCTAGACATTGTCATGATTCATACAAGTAAAATATTTTTCAAGGACACAATCTGATATACTAACATTTATTTAAGAGGTTAAAGTCCACCACTAAATCTAAGGAAAGATTTTTAACTGCCAAACACATTTTCTTTGACAAATAATGTAAGATGACAACCGCCAAGACAAAATCCACAGCAAGTTTAACTCTAACTATTTTCACTTACTGTTTAGGAAGTAATTTCTTCTTACACACAGTAGTATATTTGGTCCTTAATAGCTTTCACATGAAGGACACACTGACATAACAGTCACTATTTTGTGGTTGAATTCTTTTTTGTTGCTGTTTGTTGTTTTCCGTTTTTTTTGTTTGTTTTTTTTTTTCTTTTTTTTTCTTTTTCAGAATAAACAACATTACAGAAGGCTGTGGAAGAGCAGTCTGAATCTAGTACTAGTCAGGTCGGCTATGTGTATGTGAGTTTCTCCAAGAAAACAAGAATGTTGCATCCAGTCTGTAGCCTTCTGTTTTCCATAAGCTATAATACACCCCAGTCTCTCCAAGTTTCTTTCAATACTTGATTACTGTACTTTTGCTTCCATTACCACTGAACGCCACTACAACTGTTCTTACAGAAACATATCTTCATAAATGCAAAAACTTTGCCCTGACTCTCTTATATTACGGTATTATAGTGGGACCTGGTCTGGTTAAAAATATATATATATTTTAAAAGGAAATAAAAGAAAGAAGAAAAATGTAGAAATAACATGGTAAAATGCTTGAAACTGTGCCAACAGTGATGAAAAAGAAAAATCTTGTGAAAATTATAATTTACTTTTAGACCTCTCTATGTAGTTAGCATATGAGTTCCAAATTATACATTATTAAGTTTTCATTCATTTGGCTATGTTGCATATATTATATATATATTTATATAGTCTATATATTATAGATCTTCTAGATAAATTGACAGTGAAGGACACGCTTATTTTATACATTATTTTGCTGGGTTAAAAATAAAACATATGCCTATTTATATAGTGAGTATTTTGCTAAATTTTGGGCTTTATTTCCCTCTCTTTCAGGAGTCATGCTTCTAATCAATAATGATTAGAATGACAACTAAAAATAAAGTATTTAAATGTCTGTTAAACTGTGAACTTTTCAGCTCATTTGGATCTCTAGACTATAGTGCAAAAGTAAAAACAAACCAAGGTAATAACAAAAAAGCACAAGTAAAATGGGTCTAACTAGGAAAAAACACAGGGAATACAACCACAGAGTGTTCCCGGCCTCCAGCCCAGAATGTTCTTCAGAGGAAGGCTCAACTACTGTGTTCTCACTCTAATTGATTAAATGGGGTATGGCTGTTTAGTGTCAGCTGCCTGTATGTTGGGTGTGAAACATCAACTATTTCTCTTTTTTTAAAATATATTTTATTGATTTCTTACAGAGAGGAACAGAGAGTTAGAAACATCGATGAGAGAAACATCGATCAGCTGCCTCCTGCACACTCCCTACGGGGTATGTGCCTGCAACCAAGGTACATGCCCTTGACCGGAATCGAACCTGGGACCCTTGAGTCTGTATGTCGATGCTCTGTCCATTGAGCCAAACCGGTTAGGGCAACTATTTCTCTTTAAAATGTTTTTACTTTCATCAGGAAATGCAAATGAATTGTCCTGTCTTTAATTTAAACTTCAGAACTACAAGTCAATGAAGGCATTCTTTGTATTCAGCCAAATAGGAAGCAATGTATTCAATATCTACATTCTTAATAAGAAATGCCAAAATGTTTCTCTTATATTTACTACTCATTAGTTCTAACCTTTGGGGTTTTTCTCTTTCCTCCAAAAAACTTTGGAAGTGGTAAAGAGAACAGTAATAGTTCAAGGCAGTATGAAAACCACAGCTGTAAGTGATAAAAAGTGCATTTTCTGACTATATTACAAATATAACTTTCAGAAACTAAAGGCACAAACTAAATAAATATATATTACAAACTAGAAATGCACAGTTTAAGGTAATTACAATTAAGTAAAATCTTCAAATATTTGTTTCTAATGAATATTTAAAGCAGTTTGAAAATGATACACCATCAGTGAATTGCAAAAATTATAACACTTAAAATATAAGCAAAATAGACTCTAATATCGACATCTTGGATTAGTGATAAAATACATCATCACACTTACGAATGCACTCTCTATATACAGTTCACAAATTATTTTTCCATTAATTTAAAAGAACATCAGAGATTCTAGGAACTTAAGGTCAATTTTTAGGCTGGTGTGGAGGTATTCAAATTTTCAACAAGTTTGTAAGTCATTTTAGAATCCCATCCTGAATAAACACTGTACCAGTAACACACTCCTGATTCAGGGATAAAAACCAATAATATGATAGTAGTCTGGATTAGTAATCTCTTGAGTTGGTGTGCTTCCAATTCAAAAGAGAGATGAGTTAATCATGAATCTTTTCCCTCTCTCACTGTCTTCCGATACATGTGTAAGAATGTGGTAATGCCAACCTGAAGGTTTTGAAAATTAAATGTTTAGATAAACCCTCCCCTACAATCTGTGGGTCTTGTTTTTCCCTCACTCTACTTTGTGTAGTAAGGAGCCAGACTCTTTAAAAACCTTGGCCTGAGCCTGGATTCTGACTTTGCATATTTTCAAAGACACTGTCGTCACAAAGCAAGGCAATGACCCCGACACTGCATTTAGGTAGTAGCTGGAAAGAACCCAGACTGTAACATCCCATCGTAAATTCTCCTTTAGACACAGCAAGTGTTCAGAGTTGGGATGAAAGTACTGAAGCTGGCTCAGGGGGATTTTCTACGGGCCACATCACACTGTCACGCATTTTCATTCGTGGTAACTTCCAATTACACAGCATTTTATAAACTGTCTCTTTGTCACTGGGCACAAATCTCCCAGCTCATCAAGAGGCTTCTTTTGCTACAGGATTCTCAGAGATTGAGAAACTGCAGCTGACATTAACACTAATTCTAATCTTTTCCCAACTTTTAAATGATCGCAGAAGAAAATCACATTTCCTTCCTGGAAAATAGTAATTTTCCTAGGCAGGAGATATGATTAAATTAATTTAATGGGCAAAGACAGAGAACTAAAATAACTAACCATATACATTATTTTAATAAAAAATAGTCTGTCTCTCTATAATTAGTTGAAATGTTTTAGGTTGGAAAGGGTACACTTAATTAAATTTCCTGACTATGGTTGGGAGATGTTCAATACAGAATGGTACATTTAAAAGATAAATCTAACTGAGCTAAAACAATGTAGAGCAACTACTGTGATGTTTAGCTTGGTCTCCCCTTTGATACTTTCATTTCAAGCTTAGTATTCAGTCTAGTTTTTAAAGGTTTTGGCTCTTATGAATTTCTACAGTAGTAGTGAATGTAATTTATCGGCATCCCAGGCATATATGCCTGCTAAAGCCTCTCTTTTTTTTTGTACCAGAATCACACTTTGTAGTAAGTCACCTTTCGTGTGCACAAAACCATTGGATTAGTGTATAAATACTGAATCACTAATGTGAAACTATGACCAAAACACACCCTATATATAAATGAGAAATTGCTACCCAGGTTAATAAAAGCTATGCTTACATGACGCCAACACAGCTGGACAATTTAGTAAAACAAAATTTAGTCAAAACAGGTGGTATGGGAGAAGTTACATTGGCCAGCTGCCTCGGTATCACGCGCACACAAGCAAATTGTGGCAATTCAGTCTGGGTACCACACCCGTAGGGAAGCATGGTAGACAGAACGCAGCCACCACACGTCAAAACACAGCACAACAACATGGCATTTACTTTAACAAGCAGGAAGGAATAATCAGGGAGGAAGGGCAAATGGTTCTCGACTCTAGGAGATCGTGGCTGAGGACATTTCATACTTCTTTGAAGTGTCCTATAGCAGATCTGGAAAATGTGAAAGCGCTGGCATTCTTGCGAAATGCAAGGTTTAGATACTTATTGCACCACTTTTTCTGCCAACAGTTAAATATGAAACTTCATGTCGCAATAGAGATATAGAACCTTGGGATCTTTCTGAAAATTTGAATA